GTGTGTGTGCGCGGGGGGGGGGGGGGGGGACCAATCAACCAATCAATCAAGCAAATAACTACTGTCACATGTTTTTTTCTGGAACTTTTATATATATAGTCAAACTAGCTGCCCGGTAAACCGTAGGCAGAGAGGGAGAAGAGGACAACGAACGAGGGGCCACATACATATATGTATAAATATATACCGGGCAGCTCTGTTTGACGATATATATATATATATATATATCGTCAAACAGAGCTATATATATATTTTTTTATTATTTTGCTTGATTGCTTGATTGCTTGATTGCTTGATTGCTTGATTGATTGGTTGCTTGGGGGAGGGTCGCCCACTCCCTGCGCGCTCATCAATCAATCAATCAATCAAAATCAATTACACAATTACTATCACCTTCTTCTTTTTTTGAACTGTAGTGTTCAGCCTCCTGATGAGTCAGTGAAACTCTGACAAAACAGGTTTATCACAGACCCTCTTTTGTTGTCCTCTTCTCCCTCTCCGCCGACGGTTTACTGGGCAGTTCTGTTTGACGATATATATATATGTATATATACTAGCAGGCTCTTCTTTGGTTATGGTAGAAAGTATTCTCGATTTTCTTGACAGTGCACGTAAGAATTCATTTGCGTCGAAAATAGCCTGACTCATCGTCCTATCATCCCACATTTTCTTGTGTTGCTCATTCTTCCCCGTTGCTGGGGTGTTTCGTTTTGCGGGCCTACTGTATGGTTCCGTTTTTTTCTTTTTTGACTATGGATATGGTAGATTTGTTGTGGTAATCTTGTCTGCATCCCGGTTGGTTTTGTCCCGTTATTCGGTCTATTCAGTCAGCAGGTAGCGGTGCTTCATGTGGGATCAGTCATCCGGTTTTTTTATTGTCTTTGCATCCTGGTTGGTTGTTTCCCGTTGTTCGGCCTTTTGGAACACGGAGCGGTGCTTGTATGTGGGAATCGTCATCCGGGATTGTCTTTTATACCGGTTCTCCAGGTTCTTTTTTATTTCTTTGAAGACAAGAATGTTTTGACATCCTGGTTGGTCTTGTCCCGTCGTTTGGCCTGTGTAGGACTGGGGCGGTGCTTGCATGTGGGACTTGTCATCTGGGATCTGTTTTGTTGCCCCCTGTTCTGTATTATTTGGCTGTTCCCTTCCTCTTTTCTTTGCCTCTTTGCCTTCTGGCTGTGTGCAAGTGGGTCGATATGACACACAGGGGTGGGGGCAGCCGCCGCTCAACCTACATCCACGTAGGCGGCCTTGTACGCAAGAGGTTCTGAGCAGGGGGAGTTATAAGGAAGAAGATAAAAAACTGAACTCATTTTTTCCTGTTTTTCTTTCTTTTTTTTTTTTCTTTTTTTTTTTTGCATTTACGCTCTGATATTCTTGTGACAATATATGTGTATATATATATTGATTGATTGATAGATTGGTTGGTTGGTTGGTTGGTTGGTTGCGGGAGGGTCGTCCACCTCCCACGCACCCATCAATCAATCAATCTTTTTTTTTTTTTTTGGTTCCCTGGGGGACAACCCACAACCCTTCCCCCCCTCCTCCGGCCATCAGTTTGTGGAGGCCCCGATAAGGGCTTGTACAGCTGTTCGTACGGCCCGTACGATTGCCTGGGGGGCCGTATGTACAGCTGTTTGGGACGTACGCACGGGCTGTACCCGTCCGAGTGGCCCGACATAGACGTTGCCTGTGACATCTTTCTATGTGGAGCCATGCACCAACAGCGACTCTGAGAATCGGATATGATGCTTCTACGATCCACACCCGATCCTTTCCTGTCTGGTCTGCAGGGGTGGCCACTAATGCGTAGGGAATGTCTGCCCCTCAAGTCAATTTTCTCTGCACACCAAACAGTGACTGGCTTCGGTGGTGATTACGCAGAACCCCGTGCAAGTTTGTCTTTCCTCTGCTTTATTCCTTGTCCCTCCACTTCCCTCCTCTTCCCCTTCTCCCTCCTCCCTCCCATTGTGTAGAACTGCATCTTCCCTTCCCCCTTTCCTTCCTTCCTCCCTCCCCTTGTGTAGCGCTACTAGATGCATATGAATCAGCATCATTAAGAGAAAAGACAAAATATAAGTTGAAGGTGTGCTGCGAAACGAACAGGAGTAATACCTCCCCCTTTACTCTGCCTCCTTTTCATAGATCGCAAGTGGGCCGTCATGGCACACAGGAATGTGTGCAGCTTGCGCTCAACCGCAATCAACACGGCGTGCCTTGTACGTAAAAGCGGAGCTTCAAGAAGAAATGAAAGAGAAAACCCAGAAAAACCCAAAGTAAGGGAAGCAAAGAAAGGACTGCACAAGGAAAAGGCAATATAATGGTCTTAGCGTGCTTCATCGACTTTGCTATAGAGGTAAAGGTGTTTTGATTTTGGATCTACGCATCTGGGTGGAAAAAAGTGTTGTTGTGTTGACACCACACAAACACACATCTCCTTCTCTCTCCCTCCTCCTCCCTCCCTCCTCCTCCCTCCCTCCTTCTCCCTCTCCCCACCCTCCTCCCTCCCTCCCTCTCTATCTCGTGCATACCCACACATTCAGATACCTTACACGGAAACATACAGGGTCTCATTGCACTACTCTCGACATGCACAAAAGACAAAAATCTTGGCGGTGTATCTTTCTGAAATGTAGTGCAAGATTCACTCTCGTTTTGCACATTTCGAGAGTAGTGCTGCGAGGCCCACACACTGCCACTTTGTAGAAGAACAGAATGGAGTTCAATCTTTGAAGTGTAGTACACAGCTATATCTGCTGACGTGTGCGTTCCGGCAAGTGGTAATTGGCTAACTAACGTCTTCACCCGAATAGAACGCCTGGTCATCATAGCTGTATTTGGGCCAACTGCCAGTCCAGATGCAGCAATGATGACCGGGCGCTCGATTTGGGTTGGAGACAGTAGTTGCATGTCAGAGTCAGTTAGATGGCAGTGGGATGGATGTGAAAAATGGTACAAAGCATTTTCAGTTTTTGTCTCATATGTGTCTAATGCACTTCTTTGCCCTCTCTCTGTTATCTTCGTTGTGGTGCAGAGCCCAGTTCGATGTGGCCAAAATGTGCGAGGACCAGTGGCGGTGGGCACAGTATTCCAAGCAACTGGAGGAGGATTAGTTGATCAGGCAAGGGTACGGAAGAGAATTTGAGAGCCGAGGGGGGGTGGGGGGGGGGGGGGGGGGGGGGGGGGGGGGGGGTTGGGGGGGTGGGGAGGAATTGTTTGCTTGGCTTGCGGGGTGAGTAAGGCCGCTCCCACAATGGGAGTGTTTGCTGCCAGCGCGCGTCCAAATGTGACATACAGAATGCAGGCTGACTTGATGGTGTGGGGTGTAGAAAGGCGGCGGGCGTTGATTGCTCTTTGCTGGGAGGGATGTCTGGAGAAGGGTTTTTCATGCAAATCTCTCTCTCTCTCTCTCTGTCTTTTCACAAAGAGAGAGAGAGAGAGAGAGAGAGAGAGAGAGAGAGAGAGAGAGAGAGAGAGAGAGAGAGAGAGAGAGAGAGAGAGAGAGAGAGAGAGCGGCTTTACTTTAATTGGTTCAGTTAGTATTACCAGCACATGTTGTTTATAATAATCTAGTTATGTGCGCGATTCATTCAATTTGTATTGTCGTTGCTTGACTGAGGCCATACACTAGCACTTTTCTGAATGTATCTGACTGCAATAACGCCCACACCTGGATGCATCTGGCTCTGATAACGTCCAGAGCACAGGCGGAAAAGTCGCAGTGTGCGTATGCCTTTGAGAGTGAAATCGAAGTGGAAGGTTGCTAGTGTTGTATGCATGTTTCCATGGAGAGAGTTTTCCGTGGTCGAATTGGGGCTGCCATCATGGCCATGGCAGCTATTGATGCTCGCAGAGCGTTGCGTTGATAGATATAGAAGAAGGGCATGTTGGAGGCAGCATAGAGAGCCGAATGGAGGGGTATGGTGTCGGTGTTGTGCCGATATTTCCTGACCCAGGTCTGGACAGAGTTGGCCTCAGGGCATACTCACACTAGGACCGTTGCATCCAGGTCCAGCCGTAAATCCGGTCAGCTTCAGTTGAGGTAGAGATAGTGTGAGTATGCCCTTGGAAGGTGCGGCGACAATGCCCTGGCCCCCCATTCTGATTCGCGACGGCTGAGACCGCCGCTTGTTCGACATCTCTAAAGCCGTAAGCACAAAGTCGGCCTCCCATACTAACCCGCCGAGTCTGTTTTGTACTAGCTTATTGCTATGGAGAAGCGTGCTCGCAATGCGGTTGCAAATCGATGGCCTTCGTAATAAGCTTTGGGGGGGGGNGGGGTATGGTTCCTTCTCCATTAAATCATGGGTTCGAGTATCACTGATTTTCCCGATGCTAGCGTTTGTGCGACCGTGCACCACTGATTGTACTGAAGCGATTTTTGTTTGCGGTTCAGGGTAGGTGGTAGCAGGCATACACGGCGATACACATCATATTTTGCAGTAGAAGTTTTTTCACACTTCTGAAGGGCAAACTTGGTTTTTGAAGTTCTAGCATATTCCTTTCTCATTCGAAAAAAAAGTTAAAAAAAACTGTTTGTTTGTTTTTTTTTTTTTTTTTTTTTTTTTTTTTTTTTTTTTTTTTGGGGGGGGGGGGGGGGGGGGGGGGGAGAGAGCACAAATCAATGGATTTGTGGCAGCAAGCAGGGTGCGCGGTGTCGGTTATGTCGTGGGAACCGCCAAGGGGAGTGGGAGGAAAGACGATGACACTGTACGGCATGGCCTTCGCTTTGGTGGAGGACTGCGTATGCGGCTGCAAAGGAGGGAGGGAGGTTATGCAGGTATTGTGGCTCATGCAGCATGACAAGAGTCAGCATTGTGAGAGTGCAGGTGGGCAACATCTCTTTTTTTTCTGGGAAAGAGTGGTTTATTTATTTTGTCTCTTCCCCTCCTCGCGTTCAGATTTTGTTCTCCGGTGTGAAATCTATCTATCGGTCTTTATTTATTCAAAGGAAACGACGACTTTGCAGCGAGCGATCAGGTAATCTTTTTTTTTCTTCTTTTTCCCGTATGCCGGAAAAGTGTCGATTGATACCGTCATTCCTGTCCCATGCCTACTACCGGGCAGGGCCATGACACAGGTGATTTGGTGATATGCTCGAGAGCTTTCTTGAAACACATAATCTTTTTTTCAGACTTTTTGCCTAGTCGAGCAGCGCAATTGGGTGCCACCGCCGTGATGAGAAGTTTGGCGATTGACAATTGAGCATCCATGTCTTGGCTTGATTGCCGCCTAAACCAAAATCCAGACGCTGAACACATGTTACGGCGAGGAAAGAGGGACGGTTAACGTTGCCCTGCTGAACGCATCGGACCTTGCTAGTGGCTATGAGGCGCAGTCGCTGTTTCACGGAATCGGACTCCTAGATGCCCAGGCAGTGATCCCATGGGGACATTACAGCGCAGTCCGTGCCATCGAAATCAGGTCTGGTACCACGCTAGCATCTACAAGTAACGAGCTTAGGTAAGAGCAAGTGGTGGCACTGCTCGGAACGTTGTGTTCACCGTACTCGCTATCGTGCGTATTCACGCACAGGTTCTGCCCTCTGCTCAGGCAAACAATCACACCTGTGCAGAGCAAGCCAGGCATTCATGACTTTTTCATCACTGGTTCGCTTTGGAAATCAATGCCTGTTAATAGGTTTCGTCTCCCTGCGCTGTAGTGCCATAGCCTGAGAATTGAATCCAAGTGGGTGTGCTGCAGATCAGTCCCCTGCTCTGTCCATAAAAAATAAGCCTTGTTTCGCGTATTGGTCGTAGAATAATGTTCCAATGCTATGATCCTTGCATGTGCCACATTTGTCCGAGCCTTAGATAGTGTAGTAGTGTGGTATCCCAAAACCAGCACTACGTGCAGGCCTGCCCTGCGAAGAATGCAAGAGCTTTGCGAGCCGACTTCCAAGCCTGTGTCCTGCAGGCTGGGATCTGAAGTTGCACCTGCCGGAGGCTCGGTGCCGGGACCACAACCGGTGCATATCTGCAGCCCCCAGGTCGATGGCTTGACTTGTGTGGGGGGGGTGGAGTGGTTTCGTCCCAGCACCTGACCCTCATAGTCCTGGTCTGTGTTTGCGGTACAGATCAGGGTCCTGGTCTACCATAATGCCTATTCAACAGCGGCACCCTAACAGCATGAGGCTGCCCTGCGTACGGCTCTCGTGTATCCGAGCAGCGCAGTAGAAGCCCATGGTTCTGTACCCCGAGAGTCCTTCGGGACGCTTTATAGCGTGCACTTTAAGAGTGCTTTGGGCAGTGATGTAAAATGGTGGGGAAAGGTCTATCGGCGGGGAAAGCTTCGATCAGCATCTGTTCTGTCGGTGATGGACCCTGTTATATGGTGCTGAAGCTTGTGAACAGTTGTTAGGACCACGGTACGTCTTCGGGTTTAGATCTGACGGTATGTTCTAGTGCTGTATCAACTTATGTCCTAGGTTGAGTTATACCATCGAATAGATGACTACAGTCTTCCCCCGAATACAACGTACCGTCATTGTAGCTGAATTTGGGGCATCTTTCAGTCTAAATACAGCTATAATGACCGGACGGCGTAAGTTGTATTCGGGGAAAGTAGGTAAGCTGTGAATCGCGGAGCTTCTCCTTTTCTGATTTCTCTTCGCGATGATTTGATTTCAGCCTGCAGACTATTAGTGTTTACTTGTTTCCAAATAAAAGCCTGCACCCTCCACAGCCCTTCAGGGGCCCTTTTGCGTCCTGTCAGAACCCTTCAGAAACATTTAGAAACCCTCAGAACCCTTTGGAACCCCTCAGACCGCCTTAGAGGTGTAGCACCAGCATTGATTCCCCTGGTCTAGCGAGCAGTCCACGTTCGCGCTCGGAGGGACATGGTGGAGGTTGTGATGCTTCCCTGCTCGGTAGCACTTCCCGTACTTTCGTCGATACCCGGTGCCCGGTACTTCTGCCGTTTGCCTTATCGTCCCTGTCCTCCTCCGCCTGGCCCAACCGGGACCACCATGGATTTCTTCAAGATGTTGATGCCGGCGGAACCGGGGGCACGAACGTGTCAACTCTAATTGATAAATAAATGCCAGTTAAAATAATACGGAAACAGACTGAGGAGATACTGTTAAAAAAGAAAATAAATACATTTTGAACGGTTCTTGGCTTGAGGCAGCACCTCCTGCTGGGCTGGTAGCAGACTGTGTGTCCTTGCCTAGCATTTTCTCTTTCCTTTTTCTGTTTTTTATTTTTTTATTTTTTTTTTAAATTTTTCTTATAGAAGTCTTTTTTTTCCAAACTTTATAAAGTTTTGAAGTGTCATGTATTGACCACAGATCCAGTTCTTTTTCCCCATTTTCAGGTGTGCTTCTCTTCTGTTTTTTATTTTTATTTTATTATTATTATTATTATTTTTTTTTGTTTTATTGGGCAATTGCTCCAGTCTATTCGTGGGGAGCAGCACGTGCTGGGAACTTCTGTACCCAAGACAAAGGGGGGGAAAAAAA